GATTGACCTATAAGGCATAGGTCTTCAGTTTCTGTATCCAGGCAACAGAATGCCTCATCAGATTCTGATTATGAGCTGGACTCTGTCTTAGAGAGACGGTCCTTCTCTGGTTGCTCAGTGATGAGTGTCTTCCTCCTTATGTGCTCGTACTTCTTCTCTCCTTATTGGCCTTGTCTCTTGGACACTAGAGGGTGTGGACAATTGGCTTTGAAGTGCTCTGGTTGTCTGCAGTTGTAGCAGAGAAGCTCTCTATTGCTTTCTGAAGACTTGGTCTTCTGGTGTGGCTTTCTGCTGGAGGATGGACTTCTGCCATCCTTGGGCTTCATGAATTTTCTGAACTTCCTGGCAAAAGCAGCCATATATTCGTCAGTTAAAAGTATGGAAGGGTCAAAGTTGTTTACCTGTGAGGTGCTGGCTGTGAGGGTAGTAGTTGTCCTGTCCTCAGCTTCTTCTTTTTGTTCTTCATTCATCTCGAACTCATAAGACTTGAGATCAGAGACGAGTTTCTCAGTGCTGTAGGTTCTGAGATCCTTGCTGTCTCTCATGGCAGTGACCTTCATCTTCCAAGGTCAAGGTAGACCTCTGAGAACCTTTAAGTTGATCTCCTTGGGAGTCAGATCCTTCCCAAGTTCTGAAATCTCAGTAGTGAGGGTGAGCAGGCGTGCATACATCTCAGCTATGCATTCCTTGGGGAGAAGCTTGAAGTCTTCAAACTTCTTCATGGCAATTGTGAGCTTGTTGTCTTTCTCCTGCTCATCACCAGCTCCTATCAGGGTAAGAGTATCCCAGATAGCTTTGGCAGAGGTCCACTTCTTGATTCTGGTGAAGTACTTGTCATCAATAGCCTTGTACAGGATGTCCTTCGCTATGTTATCCAGGTTGTACTTCCTCCTTTCTTCATTTGACCATTCATGACAAAGCTTAATGATCATTTGGTGTTGACCACTACCAGCAGTGTATTCAGGATTCACCTTGGTGAACTCAGTGAAAGGACCTGCATCTAGGACTTCCCACATTTCATCGTTTAGTGCGCAGAGATGGGCCTTCATGTGTATCTTCCAGTCATCAAACTTGGTAACTGAAAACATCAGATTCTTTGAAAGAGTGTTATCCATAGTAAGAGATTAAAAGAGGCTAAAACAAGTGGATCTCTGTTCAGTGAGTAACCTAAAAGATTACAAGAACGAGGAGGCTCTGATACCACTTGTTGGTCCCGTTTATAATGGGAACAGTCTAGAGGGGTTGAATAGATTGTTCTGGATTTTTCAAACTCTTATCTGAGTCAACACTAACTTATCAGAGATAGTCTGATTCTGGTGACAGAGAAGGTCAAGTTCTGATGGCAGAACTGGACCTGGCGGCGGATAAAGTTCTGTCCGGGTAGCCTCAGGAAAACACTAAGGCAAATGCCTTTCTGATAACTCTTAGAACAAGATCTCCTGAATGCAGAGTCCAATTTCTTGGGAGTTATACAGTCAGAATCTTAAGTACAGAATTAAATGCGTAAAGTAAATGACACCGGGGATTTTTATAGTGGTTCAAGGAACAACGTGTTCCTCTAATCCACTGTTCCACTAAGCTTGCAAAAACAACAGTTTACAATGCCTTAGTCCCTAGAGCTTAAGAAGCACTCCTCGTCTTCTTCAAGGCTAGTTACCACCCGGGATGCAGTCCATCTTCCTGATGGCTGGTCTCGTTTCACTGAGTCTCTTGGAAGTATCCCCACTTCACTTACTCCAGTTAGTTTGAGACGTCCCTTCTTTTTCAAGAAGTGTTTGATTCAATATCAGTTTTCTCCAACGTAACTTCTTCACAAAGGATGTATAGATGAGGCTTTCGAAGTGTTGAAGAACTGGAGGAACGATTCTGTTACGTTGGAAAGAAAAGATATGACGTTTAAATCTTTTCCAATGTTTTGTGTGCTGCTCGTGATGAGTAGAGGTTGAAGTCTTTGAGCGTTTGAATATTTTCTCGTAGTAGGATTGTTGAATCGTTGTTTTTACAATCCTTCGAAGTGTATCTTATATACTGGGAGCAGTCTTCCCGTTGGAGTGTAGAAGACAGCTTCATTAAATGCTTGTACTGTTGATTTGACTTGTTGGACCTTCGGATTGCTATTTTGGCGGCGAAAGGATGTCCGCATGGTCAATCATCAGCTTTAAATATCTCTTTGTACGTACAACATTAATTGAGCATTTAATGCATGTATAGTACCATGTTTCGTCGAATGGATCCTAGCCGTTAGGGATATTCCCGTTAGTTTCACGGCCGTTGTAAGAGTCTTCGAATTCTGCTAAGTAAGAGCAAGTCCGAAGAGGTTCTCTGGTTCAAACTTTGATGTCTGCCTCTCATGCCAATTCTGGTACCCAACTCTGGTAGCTTCTCTGATGGGCAACTCTGGGAGCAACTCTGAGAGCAACTCTGAGAGCAACTCTGAGAGCAACTCTGATCAGAAAGACAAAGAGGGTCTCTAGCCAGTCGACTATGCTAATACTTACAAAGGAATATTTCTAATACAAAATTGCTAAAGGGGTACATATTCCTTACACTAAGATACACCGGGACTTGAAGGAAAGTTATTGGGGGTCAGGTATGAAAAGAGACATCGTAAAGTATGTGAGTCGACGCCTTACTCGTCAGCAAGTTAAGGCGGAGCATTAGCACCCAACGGGGCGTTTGCGACCACTTTCCATTCCAGAATGGAATTGGGAACATGAAACCATAGATTTCGTGGTTGGACCACCACGGACGACGAAAAACTATGATGCAGTATGGGCAGTGGTTGATAGGCTCATCAACGGTGCACATTTCTTGCCTGTCAACATTACTTATTCTCTTGAAAGATTGGCCAAGCTATACACGGAAAAGATTGTGAGATTGCATGAGGTTCTGATATCTACTGTCTCGGATAGGGACCCACGATTCACATCCAAATTTTGGCCAAAACTTCAAGCATCTTCGGGAACTAAAGTGAAGTTCAGCATGACTTTTCACCCGTAGACGGATGGGCAATCAGAGTGGGTGATACAGATTTTGGAAGACACGCTAAAGGCATGTGCTTTGGAGTTCCAAGAGAGTTGGGACAACCATCTGGCTTTAGTAGAGTTTCCCTATAACAACAGTTATTAGGCAAGAATTAGCATGCCTCCATACGAGGCATTGTATGGGAGAAAGTATAGGATACCGTTGTGTTGGGACAAGGTTGGCGAGGCTAAAATCGAAGGTATAGAACTCGTTAAAATCACTAAGGCTAAGGTAAATTGTTTCTAAGGATTTCTCCTTGGAAAGACATCACCCGATTCATATCGAGGGGTAAGCTTAACCCTCGATACATTGGTCCATTTGAAATCCTTGAAAGGATTGGGACCGTGGCTTACCGCCCAAAGTTGACATCTGAACTTGACAAGATTCATGATGTGTTCCATGTATCGATGCTCAAGAAGTATGTACAAGACCCGTCACATATTCTTGGGAAACCACCGGTTGAGATCCGTGAGGACTTACAATATGCAGTAAAATCGGTGAAGATAGTGGGCAAACAGGTAAAGAAGCTTAGGAAAAAGGAGATTCCTATGGTAAAGCTACTTTGGAGGAGTGATCGAGTCGAAGAAGAAACATGGCAGACCGAGGTCTCAATGAGGGAGCGATACCCGTTTGTTTTTTACTAGACACATTGATTTTGGGGTGAACTTGTAACACCGTCCCCAAGTATATTTACTTTTATGTAAATTATGAATTTTATATTGAAGAATGGTTAGTGAATTTACGAGGTTGTAAATTTTTATTATTTCTTTTGCGTGAATAGTAAATTTCACGTGGGGCCCACACCGGGAGCGAGAACCACTCGATATTAAAAGGACCACATATTATATTCATCTTTGTCTAGATAATATGTATATGGTCGTGGATACTCTAGTTGGGCCATAGAAAAGGCATATAGTTGACCGGTTGGTCAAACAAGGCCCGTATACTAGTATCGATATTTCGTAAGATAACATCCCGTGGTAAATTCCGGGGACATCAAAATTAAAGTTGGGGAATGTATATTCATTTGAAAGGCATATAGTGATGGGGAACATGATATATATTTTATTTGTCCTGATAAAATAAAATATAATTAAAACAGTTCGAGAAATACAACTTTCGGGTTCGAATGTACATTCGGTGACATAAAAGGGATGACCTCCCACATGAGTGGGGGCCACCCCACGTTTTTAGACATCAAATTTTCAATGGGAGCTGCATAACTTGGAGGATAGGTGGCTGAGGTGAGGTTTATGGAATCAAATAAGTTGTGGGCCTCTTTCGACACTCATTTGTTCAATGAGACAAAGATATGATCATTCCTACTCCCTCCCCTATCGCACACTTCGACCAAACACACAAGGAGAGAGAAAGGTGCTATTCATTATTCACCTCCATAGCTAGAATCTTGAGCTCAAACCAAGGAAGGTCCGAGGAAGAAGGAAGAATAGAGAAAAGAGAGGGAAACCTTGGGGATTATGGTCTGAAGTTCTTTAGTAACCTTTCTTCCATCATTTGATTCTCATGACTTGTATATCATATGAAGGAACTCTAGGATTGTTCTACATGTTTAGAAGTGTAGAATGAGGGGTTAAAAGGTAGTTCTAAGTCCAAGAACGGACTTAGAAGCCAAAGTGACTGGTTCGTCGGAAAATAACATTTTAGAGGTTAATTGTGTTGATATGGTTTTATGATTATGAAACCTTGTTAGGAACTTGTATAAGATGCTCATATATCTTTCAAAGAGTTGAAAGAGTCGCCGTAGTTATCGCCAGAGTTCAACAAAGCTCGTCAGAGCTTAATCGGAGTTCAACCGAGAAGGGTAGAACATATTAAAGCTCATTCGATGTGAGTGAACGGCTTAATGTATTAGAATGATGTTTAAAAGAGCTTAAACTTGATATCCATTTTGAATTCTGGGGCGGGGGAAGCCAAAAGGGTGAAAGGGGATGGCAATTTTTAAATCGGGGAAGGGGGGTTTTCGCCGATCCGGAACGCGGTCCACTTGGGGACATCGCCGATTGGGAGCAGCAGCGTTGGAGCATGCATGGTCGATCTGGTGCAGAGTCGCAAGATCGGGACCAGCCACGACTGGAATTCTCCGGATGGGGTTCGTCTCAGCGTTGCGCACAGTGTTCCGGTCGCGGTTTTCGTGATAAATTAACAGCTTACAGATTTTCGGCTGGAGATAGGAATAACCATCAATTTTGCTTGGAAAAATGACAGACCTTTGGGCGACAGAATTGGGGGAGCAGTGCTGCATTAGAGAGAGACTTTTTCAAGAATGAAGAAGGCGGAAAGTTCAATTCTTCGGCGGTCAAAATCTGGAATCAGCGACAGAATGAGCAGCTGATTGATTTCTAGAAGATTAGAGACGGCCATCCGCAAGAACATCAAAATCCTGCTTTGACCAGAAACACAAGTTCAAATTTGACTACTTGAAAACACTTTCAACGAATTAGAATAGAATGTAAAGTTTTTTGCTTCTATTTAACATCTACCATGCTTCGAATTAGTCAAATCAAGGATCGTCATTGTTTTTCTCTGGATCTGGATGCAAATGGAGTTGAATGGCTTTGTGAAGCTTTTTATCGTTTTCAATCCCAGAGTTCATGGACAATCACTCGATATGAAAATTCAAGAAAGCTAAGCTTATCTCTGGAAACAAATAGATTTGGAGCCTTTTTTCGTTTGGTTATATTTGATAATAGGGGTAGAAATACCATCATTACCATGATTATACCCGAGGGTAGAAATGGATGGGGTTTTGAACTGTTTAGTTCTACTTTACAAAGTCAAGTTGATTTGTTACAAAAGGTGGAGAAAGAGGTTTTGGAAACTGTTTTGATTGATCATGGGGTAGCTTGTGCCGATTCTTTATTTGAGGATTCAGGGACCATAAGTTTGGGATCAATCTCTTCAAGGCTTTTTGAGCAAGACTTGCTTTTATATAATAATTCTGTTCCTAATTCAGAGAAAATGCATAACGATATAGAGCTTTTTATTTGCCAAGACCATAGTATAGAGGAATCTGGGAGAAACATTATGGGGGGAATTATTGCGGAAGATGTGGGTGAGATGTTTGAGGAGACGTCCTTGGCTGGTGGTAAAGCCGAAGAGAGTGTTTGCAATGAGAAGACGGTCATTGATGTGACTGATATTCTTGAAACTACTCTCTTTCGGGTTTCTTTTTCACCTCACTCTAAACCTCTGTTAGCGGATGGATTGGTTGTCTCGGAATCTAATGCTTCGGGTGGGAAAGATCTTGAAGTTACGCCTTTGCAAAGGGTACTTTCAGATCGTGAGCTACTAGATCGTGTTACTGACACTGAATGGGACTCGGCCAGTTCTAGATTGCTACCTCGATGAAGTGCTCATCTCAAGGCTAAATAATTGGCTGAAACATAGGGTCACTTCCATCTTTACTTATGGATATTTTGGGAATCTCATCTCTTCCGAGCAACTCAATATAAAATTCTTGCTTAAAAAAAGAGCTTAAACTTGTGATTAGACAAAGTGATTAGGCTTACGTGAATAAATCAACATGAATAGTCATGTAAAAAGTATAAAATGTTTTTAAAACATATGTGATGTTTTGGATGGCCAAAATGGTATATTTTTATTGTTTAGGACTTAATACACATTGTATAACAGTTTCGGATCAACCGAAGATCGTTTGGGGGGTCAACGGACTGCAACCACCGGGCAGACGGCGGACTGGCGCCGGCCAGAGGCCTGAACGAGCGTTGGTTAAGCTACTGCCAGCCCGGTTCATGGAAATACACAGTCAACCAGCGCCGGTCCGACTATGATTTTCAGGTCCGGTTTTTGCTAAAATTCGTTTCGCGACCTGGTTCGAGGTAGAACCGGCCTCGGCCAATATATATATATATATATATAGATAGATAGATTTAGGTTCAAGTGAGAAAATCATCTTAGGAGAGAAAAAAGAATGAATTACAACCATTAGATTAACATTTTTTTCCAAGCACCCGTATACATACGTAGAAGGCTTTTTTGTCATTTCATATATGCATTAATTAACTTTAAAACCAAGTGCCGGAATGGTTACCACTACTTTAACCGTTTGGTAGTTAATTAATTATTACTTCCTTTTCTCTCTTTTATTTATCTATCATTTATTTTTCTTTTTTTATGTTTCATATCCTTTAATAGATTAAATGTGCATCACCATGGATATTCTTTGTGACTATCAATTTACATGATGAGATCGTTTGATGAATTTTTACTATTGAAATTATGCACTTTTGAGAACATATTTTAAAAAGCAAATACCATGACTATGTGCAACATGTTCAGGAATCTAAAAAAATTATCAAACTATTAATTATTAATAATATGTTTACCGACTTAAAAAATTAATATGTGTAAATTGAAATATAGTGCATAATAAAATGCATAATGTGCATGATGCACTCATTTAATGTTTGCAATGCAAACGTATAAAAGTGCACAATTATTGACTTTAATAAAAAATATAAAGTGCACTTAATTAAACATTTGAAGTGTATTAGGGGTTTTCTTATGATTCACCATTATAGTGTATAATGCGTAACTTAATAAAGTGCATATGATTAAACTAAAGGTTTGTCCACTTAATAAATAAAATTTTATACACAATATGAAGTTTAATTTTTATTGCACCCGTAAGTGCACAAGAATTTAAATAAAAGTTCAATTGCTTGACAAAGAATTACACGTTCATATGTATTGCACTTGTATGTACGGATTTTGCACGTTTAGATGAAAACTTAACCTTCCAACTAATACGTTTATTATATGGAATTTAATAAAGGAAAATATTGCATTGAAGATGTATGCACGAGTAGATGTTTTAATTAATTAGCATGGCTCTTTACAAAAACACCCCTAACGGTTGTTCCAATTGGAATAGTATTGCTTATCATTAAATGCTTTTCATTAATAACACTAAAGTAAGACTTATACGTGTGTATATTATGGTCGTCCGATTGAGTTTATGAATGCCTAGATTTTATTCTTTTTTCTCTCTTGTGACTCCTTTCTCACCGGAACCATCCCCTATATATATATATATATATATATATATATATATATATATATATATATATATATATATATATATAGATTTATGATCAAGTGAGAAAATCATCTTGGGAGAGAAATGAGAATGAACTACCACCCTTAGATTATCTTATCTTATTATAAACGGTTAAGGGTATTTTTGAAATTTACGTTCCTTATTTAATGCACATTAATTGTTGAGTGTTGACCCATGTAAATAGGTAAAGTTATTTTCTTCCGTTTAAGTTTCTTAGTCTTACTACACGTAGTATATTTTTCATATCTTTTTCTTGTTCATCTTAAATCATACGTACTACGTATTTTTCTTCAAATGATTAATTCTTAATATTACAATCATGTTTCACCATATTCTCCCCATTTTATTTTATTGTTTCTTTCTTTAGTTAGGCTATATGAAAAGCTCATCAATTTTGTTCATTTAGCTATGCACTTTTTTTTAGATATGCACTTTTAACATATTAATTTTGCATACTGTCACAAGTGAATATTACGTATATATTTATGATATTGTATTTTAATTTTAACTATGCACACTTATTGTATAATTATTTGCATTATAAAAAGTTAGATATAAAAAAATATCAACATGTCTAATTTATTTGAGAGAAAATACCAAATATTTATTAAATGTTAATTTCCATTGTCTAGAAAATTCGTCTGCCTAAATTGGCTGTCGTGCAAATTTTTAGAAGCTATGTGCAATATAAAAGTGTACATGTTTACAGAATTAGGTTAGAATGAGAAAAGATCTTAGGAGATAAATGAGAATAAATTTGAACAATTAGATTTTATTCTGTGAAATTGAATGTGCAGTAGGTGAAACTAAAATGTGCATTAGGTGATGAAATCAAAATGTGCAGGAAAAAAGGTACGACATAATGACATTATGTGAAGCTAAAGTGTGTATTAGGTGAAATTGAAATGTGCATTAGGTGAATCCAAAGTGTGCAAAAATAAAAACTACGATGCGGTGTCACTTTATGCCTTTTATTCTACACATTTCAATTTCACGTAATGCACATTTGTGTTTACCTTTTACTCTCCACATTACAATCTCACCTAAAGCACACTTCAGTTTCATCAAATACACATTATACTTTATCGAATTATTAATGGGTTTGCATTATTACTTCCCAGAGTGCAATTAACACATGACAAATGTGCATTTCTACACTTGAACAAAAAAACTACTTTTATTTATGTCTATAAAACCAATAATGTAAATTAAAAGGAACAATCATATCATAAAATTGCATCACGAATTTTGATAAAGTGCAAAAAAGTGTTCATTACTATTAATAGTGCACATAAAAAATATAAGATTTTTGCTTAAAACAGATAAATAACCTATCAAAAGGGCAAATTTCGACTTTATAAAGTGCATATCTTACATAAATAATAAGATTGCATATTGATGTGAGTTTTCTCGCACTTAAAAAGATTGTAATATAGCGATGAAAGTACGAGTATCGTCTCCACAGGGACGGTAAAAGAGAATTAAGAATTAACTAAAATCAACTATAAAGAATAAATAAAACAAATGCGGTCGTGCAAGAATTGGTTGCTTGAGAAAACTAAAATTGAAAATAAATGACTAAAAATAAATATTTGGGTTTTTCTTAATTAACGACGAAGGGATCAGGGATTGATTCCGGGGTAATCAGATTTCTGGCAGATCAGGCTTAATTACATGAATTTAATTTAATTGAGCCTAGCTAATCAATACTAAGTTCTTACCGCTCTCGCGGCGTAGAGTACAATAATTTAGGGGACCAGGCTGATCTCTCATGCGACATGATCCTAAATTATTGCCAAGACGAACGAGCTTACGACCCCTGAATCGCTACTAATCTCTTAGCGAACGATTAGGTGTGTGTGAATGTGTCCTAGAACAAATTAGATCTCTCTTAATTTATTCTATATACAATTGTAATTCTAGTGGCCATTCTAGGTTAGAAAAGATATCAATTAAATTATTCAAACACATATTAAACGGCATTCATGCAATTTACACCATCAAGAACCTAACCATGCATCATGATTAACCCCTTCATCAACCCCAAATCCCTAATTAAAACTACTCCCTATTCATAATTGAAGAATCAATAGAATTATGATAAATAGAATTAACTGTCATTAATAAAAAAAAGTAGGAATTTACAAAGAATGTTAAGGAATTGAAAAACATGGCTGAAAAAGCTCTCTAATCTCGTCCTTAATCTCTCTCTAAAGTTCCATCCCCCTTCATTAGGGTTAAGGGGGTGATATTTATAGGAAACATAGTGATTTGGGCTAAATTAGGAAATAAATTAGGTACGCACGGCGCCTACGCACGCGTGCGTTGCGTCCGTGCGTCCGACAGAGAAACACATAAAATCGTTGGACGCACGCGTGCGTCCCACCATGCACGCGTGCGTGTCTACCAGTGCGTTTTCCGGCTTATGTAATCCGAATTTGACAAAAATTCCTTCATGAAAGTTGTAGATAATAAAGTCTTCTATCCATCCCAATTTGCCGAATTGGATTTTAATCATCCAATCAAGAGATATGAATAAAATGGTGGAATGTCTCATTCTGAAATCGCAACAGGGAGCATCTGACTTCATCGTCTGGTTTCATCTTTTTCCTTTCAGATTCTCGGAATGATGTCTTCATATGATTTGTAGCCCTTGAAGTTGGCTTTCAGATGCAACTTAAATCGTGTCCTTTGAACGCTTCTACAAAGATATATGCTTGAACGATTGACAGAAGGTCATCCTGAGCACCGTTTTCAAGCTCTCTTTGTCTTCTTTTGATCCCGTAGTCAATCCTAGAATTTTTTTCCTTCAAATCTTCATCGTGAACCTCTCGGTGACCTACAATGATCTCAATTCACTCTTTAATGCTTCTCGAATCATCCCATTTGCTCCTCAAGCACCGGTGCTGGGCTCAAATTCCCTGATTTTGACTCCAAACAACACAAAACTCGAACCAACGTCCGGTAAACAAAACTTGAGCTAAAATTGAGACTTGTAACACCTTAAATCTAGGAAAACCATCAAAATCCGACCCCAACACGCATTAAATGCATGTCTAAATACAGACTTATCAGATTCCCGCACACTTAAGCCTTTGCTTGTCCTCAAGCAAACTGAACAACGGGATTACGATAATCACCACACGGAATAAAAAATAATTAGCATGCACACGTAGCTAAAGGGATATTCACAGAACAGACAATCTAAACCAAGAAAATTCTTCCCTAAACTACATCTTTGTACTCAAGCTAAACTATTTGACAAAATTATTCACAACATCCTTAAAGTAATGACAGCATACACAAATAAACTAGCTATTGATCAGAAGGACTTGTGAAGGTGATGGTGAATGCTGAATGGTAATGAACAGTCCCTTTCTGTTGAGAGATTGGAATATTCTAACAAAGACTCAATGCATTCATAAATTTCAGGGCTATTCTTAGGATCAAGGAACTCAGTAGGCCACAATTTAGGAACGATCATCTAAACCTATGCAA